ATCTCTGTCTTTTAGGTCTTCTCTATGGATATTTTTTCAATTACTTTTCCAATGATTCTCACAGGAGTGCTCTGGTCCAGTTTTGAGAATAGTCTGTAGGGGAACAAGAGCAGGTAGGAGGCTCCTGCAGTAATCAGGTGAGGGATCACCGTGGCTCGAAGCAGGGTAGGAGTTTGGAGCTGGTGAAAAGTGCTGGGCTCCTGACACCCCCACGTCCCCTTGTGTGTACACATCCACGGCAACCTAACCAGGGGAAGGCTGCACTGCTCTCTTTATCAAATGTGTTATAACTAGTCAGAAATCCTACACATTGTCCAAGTATGTCTGATGTCTTTGCTTTATCCTACAAAGCCACCAGCACTGTGCCACTTTGTAGAATCCTACCATCAATTGTTTTTTGGCACCTTTATAGCACTATCTTTTGAACTTTTGTGACACTTGTATTTATAACTGTAAAGTTTGTAGCTATTTATTATCTCTCAAACAGCTGTTTTAAAGTATTCTGTTTCTGAGTGCAGTCTTTTAACATCAAGGTCAAGGGTTCAGTTCCTAGTACCAGCCAGTCGCCAAAAAAAAAACCCCAAAACAAAAACTAAAGTATTCTCTTTCTTTCATGTTTTTTCTCATAAATAAAATTATCAGCACAGTAGATTTATTCTTTTGTCTGTTTTGTGATATATTTTAAGACAGATTTTTAAAAATTTATGTATTTATTTTTAATTGACATGTGTTGATTGTACATATTTATGGGGGACAGAGTTATATTTCAATACACATATACAACATGTGATGATCAAATCAGGGTGATTAGCATATCCATCATCAAAAAAATTATCATTTCTTTGTGATGAGAGCATTTGAGCTTCTCTTTTCTAGCCATTTGAAAACATACAATAAATTATTGTTATTTATAGATGTTTAGCACTACTGTATACCACTAGAATTTATTTTTCCTATCTAATTTTACTTTTGTATCTGTTAACTAAGCTCTCTCCCTCCCTTTCCTCTAGTAACCACAATTCCACTCTCCACTTCTATAAGCTCAACTTTTTTTTTTTTTGGCTGCCACATATGAGTGAGAACATGCGATATTGATCTTTCTGTGCCTGACTCATTTTACTTAACATAATGTTAAGACAGATTTTAAACTTTTCTTACCAGCCACCCAATTGTTAAGATCTGGAATACTTTTGTTTGTTTATTTATTTTGGCCACTGGCAGGTATGGGAATCCGAACTCTTGACCTGGGTGTTATAACACTGTGCTCTAACCAGCTGCGCTAACCAGACAGCCCTGGAATACATCTAACCAGTCTCCTTGTGCTATTTGGCCTTTGGCTCATGACCCATTTTTTCCTTAAGAAAGTGGGGTGTCAGGGAACTCCCATGGAGTACTCCTTTTTTTCCCTTTAAATGCTGTGATTCTGATAACCATATACAGCTATACCTTTTCTTTTAAAAAGTAACACTCTCCCCAGATGAGTGACATCCAGTAATAAAAAAACACACCAACTTCATTAATTCCATAAATGACTTATTCCTACTGCATAGCAGCAGTGAGCACCTTGATAAAAATCTAGAAACATACACTTCTGATGTTCCTTGGGATATATGTTTTAAAACCTACCATATTTTACTAGAAATCTGCAAGAATTCAGGCCATACAGACTTTGTTGGCATTTCAATTCAACCTAATTCTTTACTATGCACCAGGAGTCTGTTTCTTCAGCAGTAAACTGGGGATAAACATTTTCCTAAGTAAGCCACAAGCTATGAGAGCAGTTATTGTTTCATTCATCTCTGTATCTCCTAGATTCAGATACCTAGAAGAGTCTGTAGTGCACAGTAGACATTCAATAATGTTGAATGAATTAATTTAAAGTTGATCCTATCTCCAGAATAGCAGAGGTTCTCATGATTAAAAGCCTAATATTTGTACTGAAGTGGTGGTTCTCAAACTTTACAGGGCATAAGGATTACCTTGGAAATTCAGTAAAAATCAGGATTCAGTGGCCTCACCCTGGGGGTTCTAATTTGGTTAGTCCAGGCTAGAGTGCAGAAATCTGCATTTTAAGCACATCTTCTAGAATATTTGGATAAAGGTAGTCTGAGGACTACTTTTTGAGGTATGTCCTCAAAGATGTATTTTAAAAAGCATCCTCTGGGCTTGCCCGGTGGTGCACTGCTACAGTGCGCCGCTTGGGAGCGTGGCGGCACTCCCGCCGAGGGTTCGGATCCCACATACAGACCAGTTCCCGCTCACTGGCTGAGCGAGGTGCAGGCGCAGCACCGAGGGTTGCGATCCCGTTGCCGGTCCCAGTCCGGTACGGGCGCGACACTGAGGGTTGCGATCCGTTGCCGGACATGAAAAAAGACAAAAAGGAAAATACCAAACCAAAGGATAATTTTAGGTAAAGCAAAATCTTAGGGAAGAGGATTTGGATCAAACATTAGTGAACACACTGATTTTCATTTAAATAATTTGTTTAACAGTTCATAATTTCCTGCATTTCTTCACACACATATATATTCGTAGCCACCAAACTGAGGAAAGTCAGCTCCACTATCTGAAGCAGGGGTAGATGGCTTGATATTTCACTGGTGGATCATGCTGGATGCTTTTGAGCCAGTTTTCCTACCGGCATTGGGTGGGTGACTCTTTCTCTAGGTGAGCATTAGATGAGGCAGGTGGCTTGTATTTAAGAACCATCTCGTATATATGATGAGACTCATTTATCATAGTGAGAGGCTTGCAGGATCTGAGACTGAATGAGATGAGGGGAATGGTGGGCTAAGTCTTCAGCACTAGGTAAGTTTCTTTTTCTCCTTGTGTTTTGTGAGTGCGTAGAGTTGAATGTGCATACATTAAAAGCCTGTGTGATGGCATGTCACTGTTAAGTTACAGGTATCTTTCTAATAATGTAATGATGTTTTTTTCAGGAGGAAGAAAACAGAATGTAGACCCCAGATTCCTACTAACCAAAGAAGACTTTTTATCCAATTTTGATGTTTTTAAGAAAGTAAGTTGGCTTTTGTTACTTTAACTTAGGAAACTGGGCTATATCACCTGCGTAGGGCACTCATTGGTCCTCAGCTTCTTTCTTGAACAGTGATGGACAAAGAGGGTATTTATCTCATCCTCTGACGATCTGTGTCTGTTCTATATCTTACTATCCTCTCATGAGCTGAATGAGGGTGCTTCAAAAAGTTCATGGGAAAATAGAACCAAAAGGTAATACCAAACTTTCTGTGAACTTTTTGATGACCTGATTTGTTGAATGTGTCTCCCTCAGTAGATTATGAAGCTGGTTTAGAGAAATGAAAACAATAGTAACAATTATTTAGAAGTGAATGAATGAACAGGTTCTTTTTTTCTAACCAGCATGTTAACACTTCCTTTTAGAAGAAGCATGTTCTGAGCTATACATCTCATCCCGTGGAAGATGGTGGAACTGATAATCCTGCCTTCAACCATATTGAATTGAACTTCACAGATCAAAGTGGCAAGGCCAAAGGAACTCGTTTGTGAAGATGCTCTGATATCACATGACCTTCAATAGTGTCTCAGGTTTTATTTTCTATGATCAGGTTTAGGTTTTGTTTGTTTATTTCTTTGTTTTGTTTTTGTCTATCATGAGTGTTTTCAGGGATAAATTTTTATTAAAGCAAAATCCTGACTATCTTTGCTCACGACACCCACTCACTGATGCTGCTCTGGAGTTGAGAGTTTTAGCACTGGTATTTCCCCCTCTCTCTTTTCCTTCAATGGAGCTGTAGCTGTTAAAGTTATGACTACATGTATACCGAAAGGCTAATACACACAAATACACACATACTTAAGGGTCAAAAGCGTCTTAAATTTGGGCGTTATTGAAAATATTTTCCATGCCTTTGATGTTAGCATATGTTTGGAGATTTGTCAAAATCATAATTAATATTGAAAAGAGTTTTTCTCCATCCTACCACATACTCTGTTATCAGGGAGGGGAGAGGTCTATGTTGCCTAGATCTTTGCTTTTTATCCCCCTGTCAGCCCAGGGCACATATTAGCCTTGGCACTGATTCTGGCTCAGGAAGGTGGTGATCCAGAAGCATCCCGTCTGGGGCAGAACAAGGGCCAAATGATCAAGGTCTTCTTGGTGCTGTGCATCTATTCTTATGCCTCTTGGATTGTTTTCTAGAGTTCGTGGCCATTGGCTGCTGGTATTGCCTTTCTTAGACTATGGGTCTTATCCACATTTCTAGTTTCTGACCCACCAACTTTGGTTTTCTTGTGCACTTTACCTGTGCCCGCCTTCCTAAAATTTTTCTTATTGCCCTTGGATATCTTTTGAGACATGTGATGTGAATCACGCCAGCTCAAATCCTGGTTAACCTGATTAACCAGCCTATAAATTGCAAACTCCCATGAGCCTGGTATTGACTAATGTATACTTGATGTAGGTACTTATAGTTTTGGTGATCCAAGAACATTATATTATTAAAAATGATTAAACTTCATGGAGTTAGATGATTACACTTAATGCTACTAAGTTGAACTTTTGAACGTCAACTAATTTGCAATCAATTAAATTAAAAGTACATATGCTTAGAAATCTTGAAATTCTAATATATTCATCCTGTTAAAGAGCTAAATTACATAGGCAAACACTACTTTTTTTATTATTGTTCTGGACTTAATATATGCTTTGTTCCATGTTTTAAAATTTCAAGTAGCAGTCTCAAAGTCACTTAACTGTTTACTTTGTTATGTTCTTAGCTAGGATTTCATCAATAACTTAATTTTTCTGCAGTACCCACTTTAGATGCTATTTATAAGTTTTGTTTAAAACTTTCAATGTTTTTTAAAAAAGATAAGAGAAATATTTAGATACATACAAATGCTTTATAATTAAATAATTTTATGTTTAAATATTCTGATCCATGCTGTTTAGGTAACCGTGCCCTATACACTTAGTGGTTGTTAACTGAAAACATTAAGAAATTAAAAAAATAGGAAGTAGCACTTATCTAAAGCAAAGAGATTTATATAACATTTAAATAAACTATACATATTTATATATTTCTTTGGTGTATAGATTTTTAAAAATCACTTTATTTGTAAACAACTTTCAAATTTTATGAATCTTTCTACAATGTTTTAATGAGCAAGAAAATATAATCTTGTTTGTTTTATGCAAGTGTAATTTGACCTATCATTATTTTAATAATTCTAAATGTGAATGTGTGTAGAGTGTTTCAATTTTGGAAATCAAAATCATGTTATTTAGATCATTTTTCTCTACTGTCAAGGGTTATGCAATGTATTACCAAGAAATATGATATCATTCCTGTCCACTTTCCTCTAGGCAAAGTATATCTTTGTGACATTTAGAACGATAAATGTTTTACTTTTATAAATGCATAGGAGTGCCAGATAGAATTCCTAAGAAAGCAAAATAATATTATTATTAATTTTAAAAAATTAAGATAATTTCTAAATTTGGGGGTAACACCAAGTGGGGTAAATTGTTAATATACTATAATGTAAGTTAAATAATCTGTTGCTCGGAGTAATTTTGAGTCTCAAAAACCCTCATGGGGGAAAGAGCCATGCCAGTTGTCTGTCACTGTCTATTTTGCTCCTGACAAGTTGGATATCCTTGAATTTATTCTTCACCTCCTCTCATGATGGTACACAGCACTAAGCTCCTCCCTACCTCACAGAAATAACCTGGGTGTACAGGATCAGGTTGAGCTCTTTGGCAGAACAGCACTTTACTAACTCAGATAGTTGTGAGCCCTGAAAGAGCCGGTCCTTGGAGATGGGTCCTGAGTGGCTAACTGGGTCCAGAAACTGAATGGAGCCAAGCAGCCATTTGGTAAGTGGAGGTTACACACTTGCCCTGCATCCTCAGAAAAACCACAAGCTAAACACAAGTTGAACTTTGGGGCTTTCACAGTTGTCCGTTCCTGTTTATGCTGCCAGAATCAACTGCTGCTGGATTTTAACAACAACCAGGACAGAATAGGCTTGCATCCCTCATTTACACAGCGGACTGGAGTGGGAACCTGGGCAGGGGCCTTCTCCATGTAAGAGCACTCCTTTCTGTTCTGGCGGAGCACACTTCTGTTCTCTACCAAAGGCTGAGTCTCCCTGGATTGCAAACTGTTTGTCAAATAAAGTCTCCCTTCATCTCCAAATCCTTTGCAGTGAATTTTGTTAACGTAGTGTTACTTAATATTTCAATATAATTGGGAATCAAAGTTTTGAGACAAAGGTCATCAGCCAGTTTATAAAAAAATGAGCTGTTAATTTACACTATCACACATAGAGATAGTGCCTTCTTTAAAAAATGTGTGCCATGGGAATATTAAAATATATTTTGGAATCAGCAGGATTATTTCAACAGGGAGAAGGTAAACTTTAAAGAAAGATTGGTCATATTCACGCCACAAAAAAATGAAAATTGTGTAGGTAAGATCACATCCATCTGTTTAGTTGCGTATGCAGCCATTTTCTCTCCAGACCAGTGGTTCTCAATTTTGCCCTTCAGGGGACATTTGGAAATGTCTGGAAACATTTTTAGTTGTCACCACTGGGGAGGGGTGTTACTGGCACTTAGTGGGGAGAATTAGGGGAGCTATTGAACATGCTACCAGGCAGGGCAGCTCCCCTCCCTCACAACAAAAAATTCTCCAGCCCAAGATGTCAATAGTGTCAAGTTTGATGAACCCTGTCCTGGAGGAGAAGGTTGATTTTCCTGAAGTGACACAATCTGGTTGTGTCTCTTCAGGGAAGTAGTATGACCCTTCTAGCTGAACACTCTCATCTACAAGGGAAGGATGCGATGTTATGATGCAGAATAATGACCATATATTTCACAGCATTTTGAAAATACTAGGAATTGTAGAATTGTGAATAGTTATTTACACAAGTCTTAGAACAATTCAGCTTTTCCACATGGTTTCTAATACTGATACATACCAGAATGAAGGAAATATTATACATGTGAAAGTAACATTTCATAATTTTATTTTATTTATGAAAACCACAGAGAGTATGGTTTTGATGCAGAATAATGACCATATATTTCACAGCATTTTGAAAATACTAGGAATTGTAGAATTGTTAATAGTTATTTACACAAGTCTTAGAACAATTCAGCTTTTCCACATGGTTTCTAATACTGATACATACCAGAATGAAGGAAATATTATAAATGTGAAAGTAACATTTCATAATTTTATTTTATTTATGAAAACCACAGAGAGTATGGTTTTTTTGTTTGTTTCTTTGTTTTTTTAACAACTGAGTGTCCGTGATATAGATACATGGGACAGGGATGGGGTCGAGATGGAGGAAGTAAGTCTCTTGACTGATTCTTTTAGGAAATTCTGAGTTTTTCCATAAAGATTCTTGGTAAGGAGTCAGCTGAGTACATGATGCTTTTACATTTAAGTTTTGTGCCATTGTTTATGAAAAAGCTTGAGAGAGTTAAACATTACAATGTAAAACATGGCTGCAAATCTGATTTTTCAACTTGTTGATTAAACTCTATAAGTGTCTGCAGTTGTTTGGGGGGAATAAATGTGAAATTAAATGGTAATTAATTTTATCAGCCTTTATGGAAAGATATTTCTACCCTATTCTTTCATTATCATTTCTGATCATTCTTTTATCATTTCAATAATTTTAATTATATTTATTACTCTATTATCTGAAATTTTTGGAGTGCTAATTCTTCTATTCACTTGCAAACTTTCCCTCTTGGTGATTTCTTTCCTTATGTAGTTGATCATTTTACCTGGAAATTTACCTTCAGAAGGGGCTATATCTTTTCTAGTGAGAGTTCCTTGGACTCTGGTTGGTAAGAGTCCCTCCATAGAAGTTTTAAATTAGATTTCGTTATGCCCTAGTTGTTTCAATTGCCTTTGATCAACTGTACAGACTCCTGTCTTTGGTTCACAATATAAACTTGAATCCCATACTCATGCATGGCACAGAATTTAGGTTTTGATGCCTAAGGTGACTTGTGTTTGTCTGTTTTCCATCCAAAGACGTGTATAGAAGCAAACTCAATACTTCTTTCAGCTTTGGGGAATAGTTTTTAAAGTCCCTTTTTAACTGATGGGGGAGTTTTGTAAGGCTTCAGGTTTTGGGTGATATTTGGAATTGAGTTCTAGTTCCTCCACATTCCGTAGGCAAAAAAATTCTCATTTTTTTTCATTCTTTAGATTTTTTTTATTTTTGAAAGTCAAGCTCAAAAATTCTCTCAATTCTTGTTTCCTGACCCCCTTTTCTCTGACCATTTTTTGGGGGTGGGGCCTTGAAGACATTTATTCCCTCACAGTTCTTGAGGCCAGAGTTTGAAATCAAGGTGTTGACAGGGCCACATTTTCCCTGCAAGCTCTGAGGAAAATTATTCCCTGCTTCTTCCAGCTTCTGGTGGCTTCTGGCATTCCTTGGCTCGTGGCAGCATAACTCTGATCTCCTCTGCCTGTCTTCACATGCCTGTCTTCTTTCTGTATGTCAATGTGTCCTCTCCT